GCACACATTTATGCATGTGTGTGTGCGTGCACATGTGGATGAGTGTGTATATGTTGGGTGTCATTTTCAGTCTCTTACTTTTGAGAAACTCATTAATTTGGCTAGGCTGGCTAACTGGTGAGGGGTCTACTGTCTTTGCCTCCTCAGGGCTAGGTGGTTTGAAAGAGAATGGTTCTCATAGGCTCTTATATTTGCATACTTAGTTCCTTTTTTAAAATTTGTTTTTATTTTATGTGCATTGATGTTTTGCCTGCATATATGTCTGTGTGAGGATGCCAGATCTGCTGGACCTGGAGTTAGAGACCGCTGTGAGCTGCCATGTGGGTGCTGGGAATTGAACTAGGGCCCTCTGGAAGAACAGCCAGTGCTCTTAACCACTGAGCCATCTCTCCAGCCCCACATACTTAGTTCCTAATTGCTGGATGTTAGAGAAGGATTACAAGTATTAGAAGGTGTGGCCTTGTTGGAATAGATGTGGCCTTGTTGGAGGAAGTATGTAACTAGGGTTTCAAATATACGCGCCAGACCCAGTATTTGTCTGTCTGTCTGTCTGTCTGTCTGTCTCTGCTGCGTGAAGATCAGGATATCAAGCTCTTAGCCACATCTGCAGCACCATGTCTGACTACTGCATGCTCCCCACCATGATGGTAATGGACTAAGCATCTGAAACTGGAAGCCAGACCCAATTAAATGTTTTCCTTTATAAGAGTCACCTTGAGCTGGGTGGTGGCACACAACTTTAATTCCAGCACTCTGGAGGCAGCAGGAGGCAGATCTCTGTGAGTTGGAGGCCAGCCTGGTCTACAGAGCAAGTTTCAGGACAGGATCCAAAGCTACACAAAGAAACCCTGTCTCAAAAACCACCACCACCACCAATAACGACAAAAGAGTCACCTTGAGCTGGGTGGTGGTGGCACACACTTTAAATACCAGCACTTGGGAGGGAGAAAGAGACATGTAGATCTCTGAGTTAGAGGCCAGCCTGACCTATAATGTGAGTTCAAGAACAGTTCCAGGGCTATACAAAGAAACCCTGTCAAGAACCCCTCCCCTGCTCCCCAAAAAAGAATTGCCTTGGTCACGGTATCTTGTTATAGCAATAGAAAACGGAGACAGGTATATTATCACATCTGGCTCCTCCTCCCCATGGTACTGGTAATCAACTTAGGTCCTCATGCTCACACAGCTGGCACTTTACCAACTTAGCCATCCTTCCAAACCCATTTTCATACTGGATGGATGGATGGATGGATGGATGGATGGATGGATGGAGATACTGAGGTTGAGATTGAATAAGTGGCCTCAGTTCTCAGTTCTTCTTTGTACTCAGGCCCTTTGCTATATCTCACAAAAGCTCTGTGGCATCAGCTTTCAATTAGTGACTTGCTTTGATCAACTGGTTATTTGCAGATGTGAAACCAAGAGACTTGAAATGTGTCACAAAATGAGGCTGTCTTCCTATCCTTCTGCCATGGGAAGAACATGGCCTGGTTGGGACACTGACTCCTTAACAGCCTTTGGGCTGACCTGCAAACTCATGAATAAATACTTATTGTTTGTTCCACAGCAGTGTTGAGATGGTACACAAAGTAGAGTATGACTGCAATAATAATCAAGATACATCACTCTGGCTCCAGGACCAAGCAGTGAGGAGATGACGAGCAGACTCTTAGAGGAGGCTTGAAAGAGATGCCTGGGTTCTGTGTGGGCCAGAGTTCTCTGTGGAATTCACCTATAGGGACTTAAGTGAGCGGATAGAGATTCTTGGGCAAGAGCTGTCTCCTTTGGATATGAACTTCAAAGAGAGAAGAACTCACAGAAGAAATAGCCAATCTGTCAGGGATACTTTGGGGAAATAGGAAGAGCCTAGAACTTGCTGAGTCAGAAAATAAATCTGTCAACTTCAGTCTCCAGCCAGTAGACCATTCTCAAATTAAGATATAGCCTGGGATAAAGATCAAACCAGAGTCACTGCCTGTTAAAATACTATGCAGGCCGGGTGCCGTGGTGCAAGCTTTTAATATCAGCACTTAAGAGACAGAGGCAGGCTGATCTCTGTAAGTTCAAGGCCAGTGTGCTCTATATACAGAGTTCCAGGCTAGACAGGGCTACATAGTGAGACCCCATCTCAAAATGGGGGGGGCACTTGCTATTCTTACAGAGGACGGGGTTTGGTTGCTAGCTCACAGCTGGCTGTAACTCCAGTTCCAGGGATCTGACACACTCATATACTCTTCTGGCCACTATGGTCACCTGCACACGCACACACGTGCACACACACACACACTAAAGACTTCTCAGGTGGTCAAAGGAGCTGCCAGAAAGCTCAGTGGTGCAGTTCCACAGAAGCCCAGCATGCCCAAAGTAAGAATGATTAAGTAAAGAGACGCTTAACTCAAAAGTGGCTGTGGATATGACTTTGGCACAAAGAGTTACATGAAATTAAATTGAATAAATTAAAGTCTTTGAGCTAGGTCAATCAGCTTCAGCTAAAGTAGATGTACCTCCTACTGTTCCTAGGGAGGAAGCAGGCTGAAGGCCAGAGTTTATTTATATTCTCAGTGTAGTCTTCAGGAATCTTCACCTATCTCATTGTGCTCAATGGGTTGTCCAGAAGGGTTTCAGAATCACCGAGTCAGAAAGTCTCTGAATCCCCATCTCTCCTTTCTGAACAGAGTATGAGTGGTAGTTATCCTGTCCTTATTTTGCTAAGTCAGGTTTTCATTGGGAGAAGAGGGTGTTGGGCTACAGGGAGGGTGACATGGGTGTTTTTAGCTCACAGGTGATGGGTCAAGAGGAGCTACAACCAGATCTGGCACAAATCATGGATCTTGACACTGTGGCTGTATGAAATGTTGGGAGACTTTGGGTAGGATAAATGTTTTCTATGTGAGGGAGGCATGAATTCATGTGTGGAGTAGAGCAGACTGAATTAATGCCACCGATTCTTCACTCTTCTCTCTATTCACACCCTTTGCCATAGGGATACAGTCTTCTCTACAGTAGCGAGGTGGTCCTCACCCTTAACTGAGAGCTCAGTTATGCAACTTGTTTTAGCCATGGATGTTTGCTTAGTTTGGGCCTTGACTATGCTTGTATTGTTAGGTTTGCTCCCTTGCCTTCTGCCCTCTTCATGAGATGAACACACCCTGGCTAGACCACTCATCTCAGGAGGACCTTTGGTCTCAGGAGAATGAGAGACTGACAAACTTGGGAATGTCCATGGTTGTATTATGTTTGTTGTACAGTGTTACTGAAGCAAGTGCTAAGCCACCGAGGGGCCCAATGGTCTGGGATATGCAGCTATCATGCATCTTTGGTCCGTTCACTCATGAGCAATGGGGGTAGGAGGAAAATAGGTGACTGAGGGTTTATTTGCAGTGAATTTATGTGGATGCTGTGTGTCCTAAGCCATCTCATTCTTTAAGAACTTCTCAGGGGCATGAGAATGTAAAGAGTGTGATCCTTACCTGAGACTCCCATGGGACCAGAGGAGAGTTCTGGGACAGCCTGGCAGATCTCCCTGGATTCCAAATCCAAAAATATGGCTATGGATTCCATAACCATAGCCCCCACCTCAGCTTGGTACTTCTGAAGTGGAAAAGCTTGTTGGCCTACATGGAAGGAAGGCCTAGAAGGAAGGCACTCGTGGAGCAGTACATAGTCCATGTTCCAAGAGGCAACTGTGCTGCTTTTCAAACAGGTTACTTGGTCATGGGGTAAGGGGTGGGCTGCAGTTGTCTTTAGAAGGCTCTGAGCAGGGATTAAGGACCACCAGATGGAGAAGCTGGGGGGGAGGGAGTTGGAAGCATCATTGCTTATGCCAAGAAAGAAGGTACCTGGATGCCCCTTCCAGACAGGACAAAAATTAAACTGTGGTTTCAGCTGTTCAGAGTCCCAGAACCAGTAGAACCAGAAACAACAACAGTGAATAAGATCCAGAGAAGACACCAACCACGACATCCAGCTCCCTACCAGGGTTTTCCAGCTGAGGCAGGAACCAGAACACTGCATGAGCTTTGGGGTAGACTAGTCTGAAGTTCTGAGAGGGGACTAGACTAGACTTGGAGACTCTTCCTTCAGTTGTAAAAGTGGCCAGAGTTTAGGGATCTGCCCTGGGACACCCACTAGGCTGGGATGGGACATCTGTAGAGGGCACTGCTGTCTCTGCTCTGTCCCCTGAAGAGACCAGTTCATTTAATCAATGTGTTGGTTACCTGTGCACATCTGTGGGGCCTTGGGTTCACTTAGTGACACCAAACACCAGCTGAGCACTTGAAGCAGCCACCATTTTCAGTTCAACCCCCTGCCCTCGACTGTCATACAAGGTCAGAGTTGAGGCTGAAAAGCAGCTATGACAATATTACCTGTCACATCCCAGCAGATGGTATTTAGTTAGGGTCTGTGCATGGTGAGAGTATGGCAGGTGAGCTTCCTACACAGTCTCCAGCACGGCAGGAGTCTCTAGGGTCTACCTTAGAGATGGGGAAAATGGGGTCTAGGAAGGACTAGAAGAGTAAACTCAAGGTCATCTCAACTAACCCAGACTTTGTACTATGTTTTCCCTTGGTCTGACTTCCTATTTTTCTCATCTTTAGAGAAGTCCAAACACCCTGAGGAAGGCCAGGCCATCTACACAGCTAATCCTAAGTGGTATTTTCCTTTTAATAAGCCCTGCCTACCAGTGGGAGGCTGCTCTATGCAGGAAGCCACCAGGGATCCCAGGATTCTAGACCCCATCATCTGCCCATTGGACAGTCTGTTTCTGCCACCTGTTTAGGTTTCAGTTTGCCAGTGGGAAGTTCAGTTTGCCAGTGGGAAGTTCAGTTTGCCAGTGGGAAGTTCAGCTTCAAGGCCACCTTTTCTTTTTCATGGTGTGGTGACCTATGGGATCCTCCCCAGCATCTCCCCAGGCTGCACAACTCAACATTCCCCATGTTCTCCTTGTAAACAATACAAAATGGAACAAAACACCAATCCTCCCGCATTATGGTACTCACTTGGAAGCGTGCGACTGTTGCTGAGGCTGCCAGTGCTGGGCGGTGGGGAGAGGGACTGCAGGGAGACACTGTCCTCCTCCTGCGAGCAGCCTGCCTGGATGGCTCGCAGGTAGCTGTGGCTGCGTGAGCGGAAGTAGCTGGGCAGCGGCAAATCTAGCGCCTCTGCCGCTGTGGACTCAGCTTCACTGCAGGCCGACTCACAGGCTGCCTCATACTGGTCACTCAGATCTGCCTCCCGGACCTGTCCAGACATACACAGGCATCAGGGGCCAGCTTTGCCAGTGTTTGCTGGTCTACTCAGCTTCAGGGCTGGAGCTGTTCCTGCCCGTCCCTTAGCCTTTCTTCCATCTCACTCAGGGCACAGATAGGCGCGCTCTCTCTCTCTCTCTCTCTCTCTCTCTCTCTAAATTTTATTTTATTTACTATGTATACAGTGTTCTGTCTGCATGTCAGCCTGCAGGCCAGATCCCATTACAGATGGTTGTGAGCTATCACATAGTTGCTGGGAATTGAACTCAGGACCTCTGGAAGAGCAGCCAGTGCTCTTAACCTCTGAGCTACCTCTCCAGCCCCCACAGATAGGCTCTTAAGTTAGCCTGTGTGGGCCTCAGTTTTTCCATCTACAATGAGAATAATGTTGGAATATTACAGGATGTTAACAAAATTAAATCTTGTTGTCTAATCTACTAAAAGAGTTTAAGATCACATCTGAATTCCGCATGAAAGAAGGCTGTGATCCATTAGTAATGCCTGCCCTTAATGTTGGAATGGGGGTCTTATTAGATGTGGTGGATATTCACCACTGTATAGTCTACTAACATCTATAAGCAAAAACAAAGCCAAACAAACCCTCAAGGGCCAGTGAAAGGAAAGTATCTATCTGTCAAGGGTACCTAGCGGAGAAGGAGCAGAGCCAGCACTCCAACTATGGATGTAAGGAATAGTAGCCTGGTGGGTGGCGTGGCGTAGGGAGAGGGTCTGGGGAGGAGGCACAGGCTAGAGATGAGCTGGTGCAGTAACTTGTAGAAGAAGACTGACTGGATTGAGGGCAGTGGCCATGAGGATAACTGATGTCTGCCAGGGCAATGTCGAGAATGGTTGTGGGTACATTTGCCATCTCAAATTTACTTCAGCCTCATCTACACAGTTGCTAAGCGTCCCTCCAGAGATGACTATCCAGGATTCTGCAAACTGGAAGCTAGAAGTGTGACTCAGAAAGGCCTCACTACATAGAACACTGAAGATTCTGGTAGGGCTTACTGACTCCAATTTCAGGGTATGTTGGTAGTTAGGGACCATGCAGAATTAGCTAAAGAGTCAGATAGCCACAGATGGACACCAGGTGCTGTCCAATATGGTAGCTATTAAGGTTTAAATCAATTAGAACTGAATGAAGTTTGGTAGTCACACAAGCCACGTTTCACTGGGTCAAAAGTCACACAGACAAGCATGCATTGTAGAACACTGGCCACCACTGCAGGAAGTTCTATTGGATAGTCTGCTAGGTTAAAATCAGGCCATGTGACATACCCAAAATACACCCACAGAGGACATTAAAACATCGGTTAGCTTTCAAAGCTGCCAACAGGTATTTTGAGAACCTCTGTGCCTTGTCCGGGCAGCAAGGTCTTGCTTTGGAGCTGTACCCTAACAGAGAAGCTCGGAAAGCAGTCAAGACCTTATGAGAGCTGGCTGAGCTGCCCATCTCAGTCCTTGGGATGTGGAGGCAGGAGGAGCAGGATTTCAAGGCTAGGTGGGCTACGCTGAAGGTTAAGGCTAGTCTGGGAATATGAGACCCAGTCTCAAATCACAACAAAATCAAGACTATGCAAGCTAACTCATCATCTGAGCAGTCCAGCAGAGAGTCATTGGTCACATGCACTGGATAACTCAGGTGGCTGCACGAATGAACAAGTGTTTATAAGTGGTTGGTCAGATGCTCCCAAACTGCAGGAGGTGTCAAGTAGTCTGTGTGAGGCTCCCTGAATACTTCCTGTGTACAGGCTTTGCCTCAGAGCTTTGCATGTTAATGCCAGCTGTTTGCCATACACCTATGGAGGTCACAGGATGGAGGCACTGCCTAGCCTTCAGGGTATCCCTTAGAGAGTAGTAACACACTAGTGTGGGGAGGATCCAACACTGCACTGTGGCTGGAATCAGGAGAGCCAGTACTAGCTTTACCACTATGTGGTGTGTGCCCTGGGAGACAAGCCCACTCCTGACTAAGATGAAAGGCCGGGTTCCGAGTACATTTCCTGCCCCTTGGGGCTGGGAGGAAAGGGACACCCTCCAGGGGCGGGTTTCCATAGAAAGTGTAATTCAGGCAGCCAGACACAGCTACACTGGCATCACAGCCACCGACGTATCACATTGAGGAGTCTCCACATTCACTTCAACACCCCATATCCTTAAAGGTCCTGCTGGGGCTCTCAAAAGGGGAAACCAAGGGGCATCAGCCCCCAACCTGTCCAAACAAAAGTCTTCGGGGGACTTTTGAGAGAGAGAGGCAGAAGAATGGCCTCCAGGAGAGGGTGCAGCACCATGTAGCTGATACCAAATTAACTAGGAAGCACCTGAACCACCAGTGTCTCTGGCCTGACCCAGGCGTCAGGGAGAGGCAGAAGGTGTTAGGGAGAAGCTCCATTGCCATGCAGTAACTTGTCCATCCACAGAGCCTAGCTCATGAGTTCCCAGTTTTCAGAACAAACTAAGCCACAGTGAAGTGATGGCAGAGGGAGTGGAGGCAGGACACCTAGACTCCATCCTCGCTGGGGATGCCTTTCTAGCAGCAGCTCTGCTCGGACCTATTCAGGCCGGGTGTCAGGACCTCTCGGCTGAAGGCATAAGACTCAACTCTGCACTTTGGTCTGAGGTGACAGAGAGTAACAACATACTGACCTGTTGATCATGGCCAAACAACTGGGGGATCAGAGAAGCCTGTCCAAAAACCTGCAGGAGAGAGGGTGTGGGTTATAGGAGGGCCAGGCCTGGTCTGGGCTTCTCAGAACTCCTCCCCACCCAAGCTGGATTCTGTTTCAAAGAGGTTTTGGTTGGCTTCCTCAGGGACAGGAGGCTTACTCCTGGGGCTGGCATCACTGAGGATGTGCAACTCTCCATTCTTCCTGGTACCACGTTTCCCCTGGGCAGGCAACCCAGCCAGAGCGCTGATCAGAGACAGTACCCAGGCCCTTCTTTTTCTGGGCTGCATGCAACTTTGGGGCTACTTATGCATCTTATGACATTCAACCTTTTAGGGGTGAAGTTTAGGGGAAGGGAAAAGTCAGAGGAGCTTGGATTAGAAGAGAGCTGGGGCTGGACAAGGAACAGTGGATGAAGTCTGTGGGAACCCCAAGCACAGCAGATTCCAGACACCTTTCTGTATAACTAAGGGCAAAGGTATTCCGAGTACCTGGGGCAGGCAGGAGAGACACAGGAGACCTAGGGAAAATGTGGTGAACAAGAGAAGAAAAGACAGGGAGGGAGGGGGAGAAGAGAAGAGAAACAGGAGGGGACAGACACAGGGAGACAGAGACATGCCTACTAAGAAAACACCTAGTAGGCCTCTGGCTGGCTGGGTGCTGGGCTAGGCAATGGGAACCTCCAGGGGACAAGACAGTATGTAAGGAAACCCTTAGTCTCAAGAGGCAGAATGACATATAAATAAATAAACTAATATGCTTCCAGGCAGTGATGCATTAAGAAGGGTCTAGGAACAGCATGATGAACTTCTGTATGCAGGGTGGCCAGGAGAGGCCTCTCTGAGGAGGGGACATTTGAGTCAAGCCTGGGACACAGAGGAGGCAGCTAAGTACAGTGCTCTGGACAGAGGACAGCAATGAGCCAAGCCCCTGACTTACTAGTCACCCTTACCTGGCTGATACAGCTGGAGTCATTGAGGCTGTCACTGATGGGGTTGTATTCCTCTTCCCAGCTGGGGCACTTGGAAGGTAGCAGCATGTCCACTGAATCTAAGCGGTCCAGACTCCTGGGAGACAAGGGAGAGACAGGGCTCAGCCCATCCATTGTTTAGCCTGGGGAACTGAGGCCAGAAGGGAGAAGACTGTCCAAGACCATTCAGTGGCATAGGGGAAAATGGAAGCACCCAGCCTGGTTAAGGTGGGAACTCCAAGCAAAGGGAGAACCTCTCACCTTTGGGAGACCTAGTAAAATCCGTGGCAAGCAGGCAGCCCTTACTTGTCATGCCTACTATGGCCTCAAGGTGGCAGAACATGCCTGCATTTGACTGTTTAGCTTTAAGCTAGAGACCATGTCGCCTAGTACAAATCTACAAAACTGAAAATCCGGGGCAATTCCAGAGACTAGCAAAGGTGGGCAGAGGTCCATAGCCTTGGTATTTACCTAAAAAGGCCCCAGGGCTGCTATGATGTCCAGATAAGGACTTGTTACTGACCCTACAATCCCAGTGTGTCAGTCTTTCTCACACTATCCTACCCTGGACCTCCCCTAGCCTTACTCTAGAAACAACACATGGCATTGGCCAGTTGGGTGCCTAACATGGGGCTTGGACTAACAGAGAACTCCTGGTAAGACGCCACCTCTTGTGTTCCCATCTCATCGTCATTTATGGGATGGGTTACACACTGCTGGGGCTGGGATAAAGATTTCAGGACGTGAACGGAAGTGCGCCAGGGCAGGTGGGGGAGCCAGCAAGGCTAGGGTCAACAGACAGCAGCCATTACTATGACAGATCCCTGGCACCAATGCCTGGGCTCTGTTCATTAAGTTCTGGTAGAGTACCCCCGGGGCAACTCCCTGTGCATATGGCTCCTGTGGCAGAGGAAGCCTGAACCAGTCACCCCGATTCTCACTATGGGCAGGGCTGAACTGTAGGTGGGGCTGTTTGGGGACAAACTGTTAGCAGGGAGGGCCAGCCTAAGCACGAAGAAGCCCTGGGTGGGGGGGCGGTGTTCACCTGGTCCTGAGGCTGAGAAGCAGGATCCATCTGCAGGGCTGAGTTCTCCTAGGGTGGCCAGGCTCCCAAGAGATACAGTGTACAAGTGTGAGGTTCACCCAGGGGATACAGTATTAAATTAAAGGGATAGCCCAGGCAAGGGTTCACCTATCGGCAGTACTCCCAAGGGACGTGACATACACGAAAGGGCGGGGCTCCATCAGTGCAGTTGTTCTAGACCCCTGGAAGAGCTGCAGCTCACCTGCGGGGGTTGCTCTGCTCCCCCAGAGACTGCTGCGTGGCCCTCAGGTAGCTCTGACGCCGCGCTGCGGTCTTGGGTGAAGGCTTGGGGCTACCACCTCCAGACTCATCACTGTCTTCGTCGCCCATGGCCTTGATGTAGCTGCCACTGCGCATGCGCCGACAGGGGATGGGCCCCTCCGCTGAGCTATCCACCTCCCGAGGGGACAGCAGCGCGGTGCTCCACTCTCCACCTCCGCCGGGCACCTGAAATATCCAGGGGCAGGACTCAGACGGAATTTAGCAGTCAGCCTGGCTTCCAGCCCATCACTCAGAAAATGGATCCTCATGCTCCCGTTTCCACTTTGGCAACTTGAGCCTTCGGCTAGCTTTCCTGTCCTTGATCACCCAGCATCAGGAAGGCCTTCAGGCCTTGATTCATCAAGAAGACTATCTGGGTTCTAGACACCGCTCTGTCATAGCTTCTGTGCAGCTTTCATTTCTTCAGGAATTTCAAGCTGGGTTTGGCCCACCAGAGTGATCACTGCAGCTATGCTTATGGGGTACCCCTTATGTCCCATCTCTTCACTGTGCCACTCCAGGCCCAAAGAGAGGGAAGTCACCCACAGAGAGAGACCCCAAGACCTGGAGTCAGAGCCTGGCTCTACAATGGCCACTGGAGATCCCTGGATGGGGATCAGAGACCCTAGTACAGCAGTAACTCAAGTGTGAAGTCCTTTCTCCTAGATGGGGAAACTAAGGTAGAGAGAGCAAGGTGTTGGCCTGCTAAGCAGTACCTGGAAAATGGCTCAGTTTCCACTGAGGGACCCCCATCCAAAGAATAGGGCTGAGATAAAAGTGCAGTTCACAGCTTGGAGGGAGTCTCTGGTCACTATTCCAAATGGCTTTGAGGGGACTCCACTGCCTTTCCACGGCCACCACTGTCACCTGCTCTGAGTTAGGGTATGCAGTCCACACACACTCTTGGTCCCTTGACTCACACTGTTGGCTACAAGATCACTTTGGGCACATTTTGGCATTTACACACTTCAGAAGCTGAAGCCTTGTCCTATGAATACATCTTAACACACCCCGAGCAGGCATATGCCTGTCCCGGTCTCTGTGTTCCTCAGCAAACACTCCTAGCATACTTCACCACCACACACACAGGGGGGCTGTTCTCCCACAGGCTCCCACACACAGCACGCCCTTGGTCAAGCATTCAAATGTATACTCCTTCACCCGCAAGACCCGATGGTACTACACCCTTGTACCCTCGACTCATTTCCCAGGGGCTCTTTTAGTCTTCCCACAAACCCCAGCTGACCATCTAGTCAGCTAGTCACCAGGACCTGTGAATTCTCCCTCCTAAATCACCAGCTGGTCCATAAACCCCATTCACACAATCCCGGGGGAGTGGGGCCTTGAGTGTCCCTGCTCACAACCTGTGGCCAACCCACCTGCTCACTCTGTCACCCAGCAGGCATCACAAGGCCCCAGGGCCCAGAGTCCTCTCCAGATGTCTCGGAAGTGTTTCCCACACTGGACCCAACCACACGGTGTGGAGATGGTGCGGGTCAAACACTTCCCTTAAAAGTGTAAACTAAGGAAGCAGAAGGACCGTCACAAAACCCCTACATATACTTAAAAGGCTGCCTAGATTTCAATTTCCCCCTCCTGCAAAAAACGTACTCCTCCCCCATAGTCTCACTGTCCCTGGAGTTTTATATAGAATGACAAGAACTTGGGCCTTGTCACACCTTGTAGTTCATCTTTTCATAATGCATTTGATGTGACTTTTTTCATGCCAGCCAGGTCTATGCTCGCATACCCTGGGGACAAAGTGCTCACTGCTTACAAGAGCAGCCCCTTCCACATGTGATCTGTTCCTGTCACCTCTACCATTGCACCCTGTCTACACACCCCGCCATGCAGAACCCTGCCCCACCCCACTGTGTAACAGCAATGCTGCAGCCAAGCTTTCAGCTACTCTCAGGCCACAAGGCCTTATGGTGTGAGTTCCTCACTACACCCCCTCTTATGAAAAGGGAAAGGCTCCCCCGACCCCCCAAGTGTCAGGTCTCTGGACCGGTGGCCCTAGGCTGCCCCTCACCCACCATGACCCCCATCTATCTGTCCCTGGTCCTCAGGACCGTGGCGTACTTATCTCTAGCTGTGTGGTTCTATTACCCACTTGTCCATCTGCCCTGTCTGAACACTTCTCCCTGCCAGGTTCTGTCCTGGGCACTGGGGATCATATGGGCGCATCAGATGTGGCCTGTGTCCTCCAGGAGAATCCAGGCTCACGGGAGTAGCAGGAAGCTGACCATTAGAATGCCATGTGTTGGTCCTGTGAGGGGGGCGGGGAGTGACGGCATAGCTTCCAGATCCCTCATCTAAAGGGCAGGGACAAACTTCAGTCTCTTTGGGGCTAGGCTCCCAAGGGCCCTCTTAATCCACCTGCTGAGAACATGTGAGCGAGCACAGGGGACCCTCTTATTAACAGGTCCTTCCAACCTCCAATTCCACAGCTGAGCAAAGCAGCGCTCAGCATGAAGCAACTTCACCAGTGACACGTGGTCCAGCTAGGACTCTGAACCACAGCCACCCTCCCCATCCTCACCCTACCTGCAGGTAATGGTAGGCCAGACCCTGGTGGCAAGACTTGGACTTCAGCAGGCTCTTATCCAAGGTGGCTGAGGTCTTCTGGCAGACCTCATGGGCATGGCTGAGGGTTAGAGTGGACCAGGAGCCTCGTTTGACATAGTTGGTGTCAGTGCCCACTCCAAGGCTGGGACAGGTGGCGGGGGGAGCAGGCGGGGGTGGTGGGGCAGTCAGCTCCGTGGTAGTGTTCTTGGTGGTTTTGAGCATGTGTCCACTGATGGTGTTGTAGGCGTGCATGAAGTAGCGGGGCTGAGTACGTTCTGGCTGGCGGCCTAGAGTCATCAGCCCCGAGGCAGGGCCACTGCGGAAGGCGGCACCCTCACCGTCCAAGTTGTCATCTGAACTCCACCAGCCTGAGATGTTGGAGCGGCTTCGCCGTTTGGGCTCCCCAGCCTTGGCCCGTTCCTTGCTTTTGGCTCTCCGGCCTTTCCCGTCCTCCAGGCCACCTTTCTTGCTGCCATTGCCACCCACCTTGCCCGTGGTGCCCTCCATCGAGGGCGCCTTAGTGAAGAAGAGCCGCTGCACAGAGTGGACCAGGTGGCGAATTCGGCCAGGACTCTCACCCCTGGCCTTGGCCTCACCCCGAGGGAACTGGAGGGTGCTGAAGCCATCCCGGTGGATAGGCAGCTGTTTCTCAAACTGGTCCAGGAGGTTGGCTGGCAGCCGGTTGATCTTAGTGGCTTGGGCGTGGCTAGGGAATGGGCTCTCCTCGGGCACCTCAAAGTGAGAGTTGTAGTGGATTCGGGGGAAGGTGCTGCTTGGTGGGGGCAGCTGGTTGTTAAGTGGGAAGAGGCTGTCCCCCGGCAGTGTGTTTTGCCCAGGGAAGCGGGCTTCCCGGGCAAAGGCCTCTGTGGGAGACAGCAGGTAGGGGTTGCGGTCAGGCCCGGCAAAGAGGGGCTCATGAGGTGGGTCCAGGCTGTCGGAGAGGTGGCGGGGGCGGCTGTCACCGAGGCCTTTCATGATCCCAGCCCGTGGGGCAGGGGCCGTTGCCCTAGTGGGGTGCCTGGGTCACCTGTCCCAGGCAGCAGCTGTCCTGGGGAGAAAAGACAAAGAGTGGTCAGCTGGTCAACAGGACTGGACTGGATAAGGTGGGGAGCAGGATGGATTGGGCCTGAGGATGTCTTAAGGCAGGGAGTCTGCCCTTGCCACCATGGGGCCAAGGACGAGAGCTGATGTCCTCTCTGTGACTGCTGCTGCACATGCATCAACACTGGACGGGGGTCCTCTGCCAAAGGGGACAGCCAAGCAGTGCTTCGCTCTCCAATGAGCACATGCTCAAAGCTACAATGGTAGCCACCCATGTTAAGCAAAGCACACTCCCCTCTTGGGGCTGAATGGAAAGGTGTTTCTGGAAACCTGGAAAGCCAGGCTCTGACTCCAAGTTCCTGGACTCCTCCCATTTCCACAGTGGAATGTGGGCAGGGAGCTGCCCACCATGCTTGTCGAGCCCCTGACCGTCTCACCATGAGATGCCACACAAATGCACACCCACCCAAAGCTTTGTCCACTCTGCCCCCAACAGTTACCCCTTAGGCCTCAGGAAGGTTTTCAGGGAGTATCCCACAATGCCTTGGAAGCAGGTGTGAGTCATCTAGACGGGGCTCTCGGGTCCCAGGTACCCTCAGTGCTCTGTGAGTCATCTCCTCTGGCCTGAGCACTTGGTTTCAGCCCTTTCCAGGGCCAGAGAGGCTTCCAAAGAGCAGGGCTACTCAGGGCCTACCTTACCTGTGGCCAAAGATAGTGCTGTCTGGATCTACTTTAGCAAAAGGATCTTCATGCCCTCGTAAACTCTTTGTCCCTTTGTCTAATTACTATGATCTCTGGGGCCACTGACATCAGAGAGACCAACAAACCCACCCATCTTTGCCATCTGGGATGATATGGTGGTGGCCTAGAACAGAATACTCAGAGTCAAGAGAGGCCTAGCTCCCAACTTGTATAGCCACTTTGGAAATCAGTATGGTGACTCCTCAAAAAAATGGGAATCAGTCTACCACAAGATCCAGCAATTCCACTCTTAGGCATATACCCAAAAGAAGCACATTCATACAACAAGGACATCTGTTCAACAATGTTCATTGCAGCACTATTTGTAATAACCAGAAACTGGAAGCAGCCTAGATGCCCCTCAACCGAAGAATGGATAGAGAAAATGTGGTACATTTACACAATGGAGTACTACTCAGCAGAAAAAAAACAATGGAATCTTGAAATTTGCAGGAAAATGGATGGAACTCGAAGAAACCATTCTGAGCCAGGTAACCAATCACAAAAAGACAAACATGGTATGTACTCACTCATATGTGGATTTTAGACATAAAGGATTACCAGCCTACAATCCACACTGCCAGAGAAGCTAGTAAACAAGGAGGACCTAAGAGAGACATACATGGTCCCCTGGAGAAGGGGAAAGGGACAAGATCCCCTGAGCAAATTGGGAGCATGGGAAGAGGGGGGAGGGAGCTAGGAGAATGAGAAGGGGAGAAGAGAGGGGTGAGGAGGACATGAGGGAGCAGAAAGCTTGAGTCAGGGGAAGAATAGAAGAAAACAAGAAAGGAGATACCATAACAGAGGGAGACATTTTAGGTTTACAGAGAAATCAGGTACTAGGGAAATGTCTGGAGATCTACAAAGATGACACCAGCTAACAATCTAAGCAACAGAGGAGAGGCTACCTTAAATGCCCTCCCCTGATAAGGAGATTGATGACTGACTTATATGCCACCCAATAGCCCTCATCCAGCAGCTGGTGTACATAGAAGCAGACACCCACAGCTAATCACTGAACTGAACTGGAATCCAGATGCAGAGAAGGACGAGTGAAGAGCAAAGGGGTCCAGACCAGGCTGGTGAAACCCACAGAAACAGCTGACCTGAACATCCGGGAGCTCTTGTTCCCCAGACTGGGATACCAGCATGGGACTGATCCAGACTCCAGGAACATGGGTTTCAGTGAGGAAACCTCAGAAATCTACGGGACCTCCTGTAGTAGTTCAGTACTTATCCCTAGCATAGGTGTGGACTTTGGGAGCCCATTCCACATAGAGGAATACTCCCTGAGCCAAGACACTTAGGGGTGGGCCTAGGCCCTATCTCTAAGGAACAATAGACTCTGATGACACCCTATGGAAGGCCTCACCACCCAGGGGGAGCAGAAAGGATATGTGATAGGGAGGGGTTTAGTTGGGGGGGGGGGTAAGGGAGGATGGGAGGGAGAAGGGAACTGGGATTGTCATGTAAAACAATCTTGTTTCTAATTCAAATAAAAAAAATCTGAAAAAAAAATAAAGAACTGCCATAATAAAAAGCACACTCGGGCTGGAGAGATGGCTCAGAGGTTAAGAGCACTGACTGCTCTTCCAGAGGTCCTGAGTTCAATTCCCAGCAACCACATGGTGGCTCACAACCATCCGTTATGAGATCTGATAACCTCTTCTGGTGTGCAGGCAAACATGCAGACAGAAAAATGCATAATAAATAAATAAATAAATAAATAAAGTCTTAAAAAAATAAAAAGCACACTCAGATACCCAAGAGAGAGAGAGAGAGAGAGAGAGAGAGAGAGAGAGAGAGAGAGAGAGGCCAAGCCTTAGAATGAGGAGGACAGGACAAAGCCTCACAAGAGAGTGGCCAATGGATGGAGTCACTGTGACTCACTTTGCCCATCTGTAAAATGGGACAATAGGACTAGCAGATTCCCAGGATCATCCTGAAAACATTAGTACCAAACTTAGCCCCACCCCTCTCCATTTCTTGGCCTCTTCTTGGCCATATCATGCAGGTCAGCCAGGTTTCTAGGCTCTAGGTCCCACGAATCCTGCTCAGAGGAGCCTCAAGTACAGTCTCGCCTGTACTTGGGGTATAGGGGCACCCAGGATATCCCTGAAGCCAAGTGTGATGGGTTCCTAAATACACCCGAGTCCGCTGCTAACACACTGAAGTTAAGGATCTGAGATGATGAAAGGATCACGGCAGAACCTGATCCCGGGAAGAGTCAGAGTAAGATGGAATAGAAGTCACCACGATGGTGAATTGTGAACCAGGGAGGGCAACCTTTAGAGGTCAGAATGCCAGACTGTAGCCTAGGTTGGCCTCAGTCTCACTCCCCTCCTATCCCTGGCTCTTGAGTGCTGGGACTACACGCCTGCTTCTCACTGTGGCTTTGGTTGCCACTCCCTCATACACAGTCATGACGAGCATCCTGCCACAGGGATTCTGGACCATTCCTCTATTCCCTTTGGAGAAATGTCTACTGAAATCCTTGGACTTCTTTATCATTGAGCTATTTGCCATTCTTGTAGCATTCCAGACCTTAAACCGTTATCAGATATATGGCTTGCAAATATCTTCCATTCTGTCCCTATTTATTTTATTTTATGTATATGAGTGTTTTCTCTGCCTGTATGTTTATACATCATGTACATGCCTGATGCTCAGGGAGGCTAGAAGAGGGCATTAGATTCCTTGGAACTGGAGCTACAAATGGATGTGAGACACTGTGTGGGTGCTGGAAATCAAAACCAGGTTTCCTGGGGCTTTTTGTTTGTTTTGTTTTTCCCAGAGAAAGGGTTTCTCTGTATAGCTCTGGGACTCTGTAGACTAGGCTGGCCTCTACCTCAGAGATCTGCCTGTCTCTGCCTTCCAAGTGCTGGGATTAAAAAGATGTGTGCCACCACTGCCTGTCTTCTCTCCTGGGTTTTTGGTGAGCGTTTTCCTTCCCCATCATGGTGGCTCATTAGTGTTCAGGACCTCCTGCAAGGCAGGGCAGGTTCTCCCCACCCAAGCAGAGGAATGAGAAACCCTGGTATCCCAGGCTCTTGAGTGCTGGGAGCACAAGCACTCACCACCATGCCTGCTTTCTCACTGTGGCTATGGTATGTTGTTGGTGGCCCCAGGTTCTTCCGCACTGACTGCTTCGGCTCCGGCTGCCAAGAGCACCAGCTGCTGACAGTTCACAGCCAAGTTCCCACTACAAACCGCTCTAAGTCAGACGGAAACCCTTGCAGGGCTCCACTCTGTCCCCAGGGGCAGCCTGCATCTAGCAACTGATCACCACCAAATGCCCTTGTCCCTGTTCCAGACACCCCTACAGGGTCCTTACTCAGAGCTCCCTGTGGGATCAGCAGGGCCTCTACTGGAACTGCCCTGAGGTCCAACCCCTCCCTCAACTTGGTTCTGTGTGCTGGCCTCTTCCAGAATCTTCTTAAGACACTCCCTGGGAAACCTCAATGTGAACATCCACATCACTGGGCCCGTCAGTTTCCTGTGGACCCTAACATAATCTCAGCATTAGTGTGTCTCTGAGGAGGGCCACCTCACAGTGGGGCACTGGCGTTGACTAAATCGGCTCCCTGAGCCTGTTTCCTCCTCAGTGGCATCAGGAGGGAGCGTACTCTGTGAGATTATGATGAGGGCTAGCTGTGCTGTGCTACCAAGCATCAGCCACACCGCCCTTTACCCCTCCGTTCACTGTGCTCTTGGGGACAGGCCAAGCCTTGTGCTCCAGGATGCTGCCCAGTGCAGCGCAGTGTTGGCACACAGCTGGAAATGGATTCAAACCCTGTGTCTGTTTTTACTGGCTGTGACCTCAAACTAGCTTCCTCTCTCTAGGGCAGCAGGGGTTTGAGTTCAGATAGTCTGAGTGTCCGCCCATAGTCTCTCAGGCAGGACTCTGGGTCTGCTGCATGCCAGTCCCTCAGCAGCCCAGAGCCCAGAGGTGGCAAAGCTTCACTGTAGGGAGTTTTAAAATAGGCATCCGTGGCCTTGCAGGGGAGGCAGCTGGCTGCTGTGAGCAGCCTTTCTCAATGAGCTATACTTAGGCCCATCCGGGTACCCATAATTGCCTCTCATTAATATAAGCCTCATTGCCTTCATGGAAACTCAGAGGAAGGAGACACTGCTGCCCTGGGGAGCCCTCTGGGCTCTGTTGTGCCTCCGTGGCTTCAGCCACCACCCACTACCAGCCACCACCCACAGGACAGGGCCTCCTTGCCCTGCCATACCTCATCTTGGAGCCCATGAGCATGGGAGAGC